TAAATAGGTGTTGAATGAATGAACAGTTGGTGTCAACCAAATTTAAACTGTGTAAACTGCTCAGAAAATGAAATAAAGTATAAGCTGATGGGGAGTGATGTTTTTCTCCTGGTTTCCACAATAAGTATTCATCTTGATTAGTGATTTCTGTATGCACCGCATTTGTACTTGTTTATGGCACTGAGAATGTTAAATGTAATTGAAAATAATTTCTATAATGACTAGAATCAGCAGCCAAGAAGCCCAAATGGGATGAATTCAAAAAGAAGAAGAAAGAGCTGAAACAGAGCAGGCAACTCAGTGATAAAACCAACTATGACATTGTGGTTCGGGCAAAGCAGATCTGGGAGATCCTAAGAAGGTAATGCTACCTAATGGCATCTTTATTAGGCCCTTTGAGGTGGTGGAGGAGTAACAGTGTCCCTTGTAAGTAGTGTGATGTCCTAAAATAAATGATGTAGCACTTGGGTTATTTAGGGAGTACTCAGACACTCCAGTAGAGGCATCGGTGTTCGGATGTCTGCCCATGGCAGAAATGTGTGGGATCATTAGGATGGTTGGGTCTGTTTATGAAAATGTATGAGAGTTAAAATGGGTTTGACATCCTTCCTGAACAATTTCTGAGAAAATGAAGGACAATTTCTTAGCCGCTTGGTTTTGAAATAGTTGAGTATTTGGTGTCTTGGACTTGTTTTATTATTTTCTTTACTTTTGAAGTTCTGGCTGTCAAGATTTAGATTGATACATAAAATTATACCTTGTGAGATGAGTTTCAGCCTTTGAGAAAATTACTTTTCTCTGGCTGCTCTGAAATAGTAATTTTAGTGTCAGAGGTTTGCTGCCTTCGAGGTGAAAATCATACCGAAGTAGGTGAACATACATAGGCTGGTATGGTGTTTAGTTTGGGGTACTTAAAATAATGTCTTTACTTAGGCTGTGTTTTCTACCTCTTCTCATTTATAGAAAAGACTGTGACAAAGAAAAAAGAGTGAAGTTGATGAGTGATTTGCAGAAGCTGATTCAAGGGAAAATTAAAACTGTAAGTAGATGCAGTTTTAACAGTTGAAACTGACTCACTCTCAGTAAAGGGTAGTTGACCATTCATGACAGGTGAAATTGGTTTTGTTCTTAATGTATTTGGGCTCAAATTTCAAATACCTTTTATAATACTGACTAAAAAAATTAATAGTGAGGGAGAGGCCTTATTGCTGGGAAATTGTAAAAAGACTGTGAAGTATTTGGCTGTTCATTTTTAAATAGTTTGCTTAAAGTAAGTCAGTGTTCTTTTAGAGTTGTCTTTAGGGATTTATTAGTTCAGCAGTATTTGTTGGAGTGTCTTGTGTGAACTCTACACTTTTGTACGTTCCAAATTGCTGGCTATTTTGTGTATGTGATATGAACGAGTGATTACTTTCTTTTCTTCCCTGCTTTTATAAGCATCATGCAAAGATGTTTAATAGATTTGGGAGTTCTAAAGTGATTTTCATTGTTGCTGTTTAGTCCTGTTTTATAGTAAACTTCTGTTGACTCTTGTATATTTGGATAAATACTTAGTGATATTCACTTTTAGCCAACAGACTCACTATCTTTGGAGACCCTGGAGGGCAGTCTTTGCCAAACCATGTACATGGGTCTAACCAGATGTTGTGTTGTAGTTTGAAGGACTGTCTTAAAATAGCAAGCTCCCAGCTGCTGCTTACTTACAAAGCCAGCAAGATCATTTTAGGATAGAACTCCTCATCTCTAGCAGTAGTCTGTTATCCTCAGTTTCTAAATAATTTGTGCTCAGGATCCTTCCCCAGTTACTGTTAGGATATTAGTGCATTCCCACAGACTTGGGACTGAGTCTGGTATTCACATCCTCACTCTGCTCTTTAGAATACATGTGCCTTTGGACAATAACAGCCTGTTTATTGATTATTTGCTGTGTGCTGGGAATTATGCTAACCTGTGCATATTTTGTGTCCTTTAACTTAAGTCATCATCCCTATTCGACATTTGATACATCTGGACTCAGAGAAGTTAAGTTTCGTCCCCAGGGTCACAAGAGTAGCAAGTTATTTAACTTCTCATAAATTTTATTTTCTCATCTATAAAGCGCCAATAACAACAACCCTCTTTTAAAGTTGCTTTGAGGTCTCAATGAGAGAAATATACTTAAAGCACATATGTTACATAGTAGGTAATCAATATATGCACAAAACAGCCTTTTTTAAAAAAATTATTTTAAAAATTTTATCAAAAATGTTTATGCAAGTCTCCCATAAGGAAATTCTGAAATCCATGATTTTGGGTGAAGATATACCTTCACTTTCTGTTTTTTTAGAATTTAAAAATTTGAAGACAGCAACAAATAATAAACACTATTAAAGTAGACTCTTAACATAGCATATAAAAATAATTGTGTATGACTTATTATTTGTGGTTATCATTTTAGAAAACTGATCAGCAGGTCCTTCAGCGAGGATCTGATCTGTCCAATAGCTGTGAAGGGAATTAGATTGGAAAGTCAGATTTGAAATAAAACTGAATATATGTTCATGGATTATTATGAAAACGTAAGAATTGAAGTGGTTAGCTCATAATGTGGTTGCCCCTGAGTGTCTAGATGTAATTATTTATGTAGTGGGACTTTGGCTGCCAATGCCAAACATTCTTACACCATTTATATCTTTAAAAAAAAGAGATTGAAAAAGGAGGGAAAAAAGAAACCATCAGGGAGACCCTGCAGCCTTGTTAGAGGATGTTTCTGTAGCGATAATTGTCATGTACAAAAAACAACACTAACAATAAAGTGACAAATCAGTATTATTGAGAAAAAAATCATAGAATAATAGAATTGTTGAATTGGAAAAGTCGTCTTTTAGGGAAAGTAACTTTCAGAGAAATGAGAAATACAGTGTGTATAATCACTGGGTAGGTTTGGTTTGGCTTTAATTATGACGATAGAATCTTGCAAGATAGTTAGACCCATCCCTGTTTCAGTGCCATTATGGTAGGTGGTCAAGCCAAAGAATGCCATTCTGTACAATTAAAACAAGAATTTCTTCTCTGAAGTAACCTAGGTTTGATTAGCCATGAAGCTCCTACTTTTTTTCCTAACAGGGAATTCTAAAAGAGGCAGTAGCACAGCATAAATAAGATGACAAAAAAGTACGTCTTCAGGGAAAATTAATCTAAAGACACCAACTGTTTTCCTGCAGATTGCCTTTGCACATGATTCAACTCGAGTGATCCAGTGTTACATTCAGTATGGCAATGAAGAGCAGAGAAAACAGGCTTTTGAAGAACTGCGAGGTATTCTACATTGAAGATAATTGTGTAACCATTTGTGAAAACTAGCTTGTTTCCTCTTGAAATAACCAAGACTGTCCTGGGACAGAATTCTCTTGAGAGGAAG